AACTCCCTGAAAAAGCACAGGAACAGATCTGTGCAGACACATGCCTAGAACCCCGACCAGGGGTATTCTATCTGCTTCCCAAGATCCATAAACCTGGGACCCCTGGACGCCCCATCATCTCAGGCATTGGCACCTTGACAGCAGGATTGTCTGGCTATGCGGACTCTCTCCTCAGGCCCTACACTCCCAGCACTCCCAGCTATCTTCAAGACACCACTGACTTCCTGAGGAAATACAATCCATTGGTGATCTTCCAGAAAACGCCCTCTTGGACACTATGGATGTAGAAGCCCTCTACACCAACATTCCACACAAAGGTGGACTACAAGCCGTCAGGAACAGTATCTCCGATAATGTCACGGCAAACCTGGTGGCTGAACTCTGTGACTTTGTCCTCACCCACAACTATTTCACATTTGGGGAGAATGTATACCTTCAAATCAGCGGCACTGCTATGGGTACCCGCATGGCCCCACAGTATGCCAATGTTTTTATGGCTGACTTAGAACAACACTGCCTTAGCTCTCGTCCCCTAACACCCCTACTCTACTTGCGCTACATTGATGACATCTTCATCATCTGGACCCATGGAAAAGAAGCCCTTGAGGAATTCCACCATGATTTCAACAATTTCCATCCCACCATCTACCTCAGCCTAGACCAATCCACACAAACGGTCCATTTCCTGGACACTACTGTGCTAATAAGTGATGGTCACATAAACACCACCCTATACCGGAAACCTACTGACCGCTATACTTACCTACATGCCTCCAGCTTCCATCCAGGACACACCACACAATCCATTGTCTACAGCCAAGCTCTAAGATACAACTGCATTTGCTCCAATCCCTCAGACAGAGACAAACACCTACAAGATTTCTATCAAGCATTCTTACAACTACAATACCCACCTGCTGAAGTGAAAAAACAGATTGACAGAGCCAGAAGAGTACCCAGAAGTCACCTACTACAGGACAGGCTCAACAAAGAAAATAACAGAACGCCACAAGCCATCACCTTCAGCCCCCAACTAAAACCTCTCCAGCGCATCATCAAAGATTTACAACCTATCCTGAAGGACAACCCATCACTCTCACAGATCTTGGGAGACAGACCAGTCCTCGCTTACAGACAGCCACCCAACCTGAAGCAAATACTCATCAGCAACCACACACCACACAACAAAAACACTAACCCAAGAACCTATCCTTGCAACAAAGCCCGATGCCAACTCTGTCCACATATTTATTCAAGTGACACCATCATAGGACCTAATTACATTAGCCACGCCATCAGGGGCTCCTTCACCTGCACATCTACCAATGTGACATATGCCATCATGTGCCAGCAATGCCCCTCTGCCATGTACATTGGCCAAACTGGACAGTCTCTATGCAAAAGAATAAATGGACACAAATCTGACATCAGGAATCAAAACATTCAAAAACCGGTAGGAGAACACTTCAACCGCTCTGGCCACTCAGTAAAAGATTTAAGGGTGGCAATTTTGCAACAGAAAAGCTTCAAAAACAGACTCCAACGAGAAACAGCTGAGCTTGAATTAATATGCAAACAAGATACTATTAACTTGTGTTTGAATAGAGACTGGGAGTGGGTGGGTCATTACACATATTGACTCTATTTCCTTAAGTTAAGTATCCTCACACTTTCTTGTCAACTGTATAAATGGGCCATCTTGATTATCACTACAAAAGTTTTTTTCTCCTCCTGATAATAACTCATCTTAACTAATTAGCCTCTTATAACTTGTATGGTAACTTATCCAACTTCTCTCTCTCTCTCTCTTACTATATGTTCCATTTTATGCATCCGATGAAGTGGGCTGTAGCCCACGAAAGCTTACGCTCTAATAAATTTGTTAGTCTCTAAGGTGCCACAAGTACTCCTGTCCTTTTTGAGGAAAGAGAGTGTGTGTGTGTGTGTGTGTGTGTGCACATGCATGCTGTTTTTACTATATAAATTAACCAGTACTGAGAACACATAGTTGCTGTCTACATACCACACCATAATCTGAACTACGCAGCCACTCAGAAAAGGGCAGAGTAAAGTTTTTGCAATTAATTAGAATGTGCCTTACTGCATTGGGGTAATGAGCCTTGCATACATGCATCACATGCAGTACGGATTGCATGCTTATAAATAGTAAAATTCGAATGCAGAGATCGTGAGAAGAGTTCTATACTTAGTTGTATTGTTTTGCTTCCTTGGATTGCTCATCTATCTATTTTTGAACAGGATCACAGTCACATGGGCTACAGCTTTGGAATATTTGATCTTCATTTTCAAAGCAGTTATCACAGTGAGTTCAGTGCTATTAACTGTGTAGATCTCACATACACTCCCATCGGCTGTATCCTGCTACACAGTATTTTTGCATAACTAATGACATTTCCTGGCAGGCAATATGTAATAGTTCTAAAACATCTTGAAAGTTTGTTTCTCTTGCAGTTGTTACAAGAGGGATTGGGGGAATAAATCTTTCAGAACAGTTTGGATCCACACCTACGGCTCGTGGGAAAATCTCAATTATGGTTTTGAAAGCCATGATCGCCAGATATTCCTGCCCAATTACTTTTTGACATTTCAAATAGGTTAATTAGTGATAGATTCAAATTCCATGCATAAATGAGATGCTGAGAACATAGAGATTCAGATTATACAAATCTCAACCAATCATTAAAATCTGGACTCCATTCATTCCCTATTTTCTTTCAAACAACTACAAAAAAGACCATTCTGAGCAGGAGGAAACAAAAACAGATTCTTGCACGTCCCCCGCATTGCACTTCAATTTTAAAAAAACATTATTCCAGTAATGAGTGAGAGACTGGTGGTTTGTCGCTTGTGCTACTGAAAGTTCAACAGTAAAAGCCTCTGACAAAGCAAAGGAAAGAAACATGGTACAACTAGACACACAGTAAAGGTACATCTACACTATGATAAATGACTCGCTGCACAGCCACAGCTGGCTGGGTCCACTGACTTGGCTTACGCGGCTCAGGCTGTGCGGCTATAAAGTTGCAGTGTAGAAGTGCGGGCTCAAGCTGGAGCCTAGGCTCTGAGATCCAGCCAGTGGGGAGGGGCTCAGAGCCTGGGCTCCAGCCTGAGCCCAAATGTCTACACAGCAAGACTTTTAGCTCCACAAGACCAAGCCCTGTGAGCTCATATCACCTGACCCAGGCTCTGAGACTCAGTGCCACCGTTTTTTTTTAATCGCAGTATAGATGTACCCTCAGAGACATTCCCTTCCCCAAGGAGCTGACAGATTTTATATAGGTGAAGCATGTAGCAGTATCTGTGGGTCAGGTTGCACAAGCATTTCTGTTCTGAAGTCATTTTCATTTACAGTACTTATATCATTTTTTTGCTGTCTCATCATTTTGGCTGAAGTTTAACCTTGTTTTTCCCTGCCTGAATTTGTTTTGGAAAGCTGTCATAAAAACAGTTCATCCTCTTTCAACAAGGAGGGAGGGTTTGGGGGTGTGCACCACAATTATTTGGGAAAAGCGGGTTCATCCATTCATTCAGCCATTCATCATATGGAAGGAGACAGTATTCCCTCTGGACCTTCCCAAGATATGCACATCTTTGCAAAGAGAACAAAACATTAACATAGATTCATAGATATTTAGGTCAGAAGGGACCATTATGATCATCTAGTCTGACGTCCTGCACAACGCAGGCCACAGAATTTCACCCACCACTCCAATAGCACAGATATAGGTGTGAGGTTTTTTTGTAGGAGTCCACAAATCGTAGTTTAAGGACTTCAAGGAGCAGAGAATCCTCCAGCAAGTGACCCGTGCCCCATGCTACAGAGGAAGGCGAAAAACCTCCAGGGCCTCTTCCAATCTGCCCTGGAGGAAAATTCCTCCTCCAGGAACAGACCATTGTTCCTCATTACAACTGTTTTGTTTTGCAATGTGCCTTAGGGTAGGCCTGCACTGCAACTGAAAGCACCTAGGGATCAAAGCTAGCCTAGGTACCAAGAGCCAGGAAGCCACAACAGCGTGGATTTCACGATGGGCTAAGTACTCAGGGTCCCGGGCAGGTACATACTCAAGTGGTGAGCCCTTCCTGAAGTCTGTGCTGCCACAGCTTCATCACTATTGGTACATGAGCTAGTTAGATTACAGCTAGCTCCAGTAGGTTGACACATGATGCAATCACTTCTGATTCCAGTGTAGACATGCCACAATGGTAGTGTGGTGGCCACCTGAAATTTGGCAGGCACATAGCCACAGAGAGGTGCCTTGGTGAAAATTGGTTGTGATTTGTCCAGTCAGAAATTTCTTATATGCGCACAGATTTTTATAATGTAACAGCTAATAACCTGTCAACCTTCTGTTCACTTTGTGCATGCATTAGATCCACAGGGAATCTTACCCCTTTCTATATGATGAATGCCTGAGTGTTTGGGAAGGAAATAGACTCTAAAAAGAGTCCAGCCACATTTGATATGATGTGTGAAGTTAAACAAAGAAGGATGTGTGGCTCCGTCCTATGTCAGTCCATTGGATGTGTGAAGGTTTGTAAAGAAGAAAATTTTACACTGCCTGGCTTTGTTAAGAAACAGAAATTGATCCCTCTTTCTCCTGTACCTGGAACCAGTGCCCAGAGCCAATAACTAAACCCAGGCTGAGTTCAGTTATTGCATAGATTTGCCCATATCTAAAAAGCACATTTTCTGAATAAATGTTTGCAGTGTTAAATGGTAAGAAACAAAATGTGGGGGAAAAAAAGTATCCAGAAACAATCAGGACTTTGTTTACGCTTTAGTGCAAATTCTCTTTCCAGGTAAAAGCACTCATCTTTCATTATTGTTTCCTTTAAATGCTTTAGGATACCTTTGAACTTTGACTCTAATTCATCATAGCAGAGAAAAAAGAAATGCTAAACCTTCCATAACAGGAGCGATAAAAGCAGAGTTAATGAGCACAATCAGTCTGAACACACAGTGCTTTCGAGAAACTTACCTTTCTGTGATTGTTTCTCTGAGTCCACTAGTAACACCCTTAACCACAGTACTAGCTTTGGGGGTCAGCACCACTTGAGATATAAAAAAGGAGCCCTTCTTTCTTCTCTCAATGATTGATGCCTGAAGAAACTGAATCAGTTTTTCTGGGTCTGTTGTGTTTGCCCAAGGAGCTGGCATCATCTGCCCTGGCCAAAGAAATGGTACCTCAAGAGCCACTGGACTATGATAAAATACCAACACTTGGTAATCCTTCTCCCACAGGTACTGGAGACTTACTTCTTGGGCAAATATAGCCGGGCACATTTTATTCCCAAACGTGCCTTTGAGCATTTGGACCAGGTTCTCATGATGATATTTCTGCATCCCATAGAAATGATTGAAGTCCAAGAAGACCACTTCTTTATGGTGGTCAGTCAGAAATGCATTGATCTCTTCAAGGCCCTCATTGACTTTGGCACTAAATAACCCATGAGCAAAGTAAAGTTCATTGTCAGGGTCTCTGGGTTTAGTGGAAATTCTGAGATCAAAATATCGTATACCTGCACCCAGCTGGCTAGTAAAGTTCATCGTCTGTGTTGCCAACCACTTTCTCATCAACTTTTTAGCCACAGTCCCAAATACGGAGACAAAATTCTGGACAGTTTCTGGTTGTTCAGGTCCAACTGGAGAGGCTTCGTCGATGTAGAAGCTAAAGGAGTCATGAGACCCTACAAATATAACAAAGCAAAATCAATGTTGCATTCATACACTTAAAGTTATAAATACTCCTCCCTTTCAGGATAATCTAATTTTCTGGTTAGCACACAGATACTCTAAAATTGGCCTTTTCCTCCCAACCCCTTCCCCCCGTACATTATTTTCATTGAATCAATATTCACGTGTGTTGAAAGTAAATGAATTTAGGAGGGCTAAATGAAATGTGTATTAGTTTAATGAGTACCTCTTACTTTTATGCCCTTAGTACTACTGAAGTCAATGGGCCTGATTCTTAGTGTAAGTCAGGAGTAGCTCCACAAGTCAGTCAACTTGTAGAAGTGTGTAATACCTATGTAAATGAGAAGAGAATTAGGCCCAATCAGTGTGTTCACTTGACTAATGGTTAGCTGGATCAGGACCTTTGTGATGAGCAAAAATACATATCCTTGACATTTTACAAAAGCTAAAGTTTTCAATAGCCCTGAAGTGACTTAGGAGCATAGGTCACATTTTCAAAAACACCTAAGTCCCACTGACTTTCAGTCAGGAGCCTAAACCAGTTACTTCTCAAAATTATATCCCAAACCTTTGCACTCATGGGAGAAACAGTGTAAGAATGATAGTTTAATAGTTATAGCTGATGCAGACACTGTATTCCATTGCTTAGAATGAGGAGGTTCATTGTGTACTTTGAACAATGATGAATTGTATTGTACCTTTTTGTGTGCCGAAGTTAATTGCATTGCACATTTTTTAAAATTTGTACTATCAAAAAAGGTCAACGACACCCTCACTTTGCACTGCACTGTTTCCTTAGTTTCAAGGATTTGTCTTTATTTTGCAATATTCACTTATTTTGTCTAGTTTGCAGCCACTTTGTATGAAAATTGAAACTAAAGTTAAGGGTGTTAACATTGAATAAGTTTTCTATAAGGGAACTATATCTTGCATTGCAAGGAGAAGCACGTGATCTAGTAGGTCTTTTTCATTCTTAAGTACTGTGATGCAGTCTAACGGGGTAGGTGACAGTCTACACTAATATGGTCAACACTGTTACAAAATTGTGAAATGTTGTATAAATATGCCTTGTGAAGCATCACTGGAAAAGTTCTAATCTGCTAAATATTATTATCTTGTTAGAATGTGTATATCGATGCTGTGTGTGGAGTTATGAAAATTTGCTCTGAGTTTGTAACTCAAACATGTTGTGGGTCTGAGAAACACCCACAGGCTAGCTCTTTAGAAATAACAAAGAGGTGTAAACAAGGACGTCTGCATGTCATCCCTTAAGACCCCTCAGACAGCATGTAGGCAAAGGTGCAAGCTAGAATCCACAATTCAGATGAAGGACTGATGGCAGAGCACATATACCATGGAACTGCCTGACCTGTAACACAGCCAGGATTTTTTTCCAGAAAAAGGGTCAAGATATAAAAAGGGGAAATAAAGGCCTCTGGCCACCTCCTTCCTACCCCATCTCTGAACTGTTAATTCTGACAAGGGAAGTTTTGAACAAAAGGACTGAGGTCCCCAAAGCTACTTGGACAACCCAGAGAGACTTACAGAAAACTAGCAGATTTAACATTCCTGCTAACATTTTGGACTACATACTCTGATACAACTGTAATGTGTTTCATCTGCCTTAACCTTTTCATAACGCTCATTTCTTTTCTTAGTTAAGTCTTTAGTTAGTTTACTAAAGGATTGGCTACAACGTTGTTTTTGGTGTAAGGTCCTTAGCATCCATTGACTTGGGGCTGGAAGAACCTAATGTGTGGTGATTTTCATCACAGAAGTCCAGTTTGTCCGAGTGGTAATATGGGCTGCTGGAGGGTCTGAAGGGACTGCTTGTGGCTCCATATTAAGCTAGTATAGTGATCCAGGAGCACACATTTGTTGCTGGTTTGTTAAATCTGATTATAGGACAAACACCAGTGTGCGAGTGTCTGCCCAGTTTTTGTTAGTCTGACCTGAAATTGGTTCTCTCAGCTGTGATCCACAACAAGTACAGTAATAAGGTTGACAGGTGTCCCGTTTTCAACCCTGCTCCCCACACCCCCTCTCACACCCCAATCCCTGCCCCATTCTTGAGCCCTCTCCCACACCCAAACTTCCTCCTGGAGCCTGCACCCTCTCCCACACCCAAACTCCCTGCCCCAGCCCTAAGCCCCCGCCAGCACCCAAACTCTTTCCTGGAGCCCGCTCCCCGGACCCTCTCCCACACTGAACCCCCCCGACCAAGCCTGGAGCCCCCTCCTGCACCCTGAACCCCTCATTTCTGGCCCCTAGCTCAGAGCCCATACCCCCTCCCACACTCCGAACCTGTTGGCTCCACCCCCCAGCCTGAAACCCCCTCCTGCACTCCAAATCCCTCATCCCCAGCCCCACCCCAGAACCCACACCCCAATCCCCTGCCCCAGCCCAGAGCCCGCACCCCCAGCTGGAACCCTCACCCCCTCCTGCACCGCAACCCCGTCCCAGCCCCGTGAAAATGAGTGAGGGAGGGAGGGCAGGAAGAATGGACTGAGCAGGGGGAAGGGCCTCAGAGAAGGGGTGGGGCCGGGGTGAGGCAAGGGTATTTGGTTTCGTGAGATTAGAAAGTTGGCAACCCTATACAGTGACAGCTACCAATAGCTTTTGGTTCTTCATCACAAAATGCACAAAAATTTACCCCTCTTTCCTACTGTCATACTGCATCCTATCACCTTGCCTGGGATGGGTTTATGGAGCCCAAGCACAGCAGGCAACACTGTGGGTGAAATTCATCAGAGCACAAAGGGCCTGCATCCAGACCTATCCTGCATTTTGTGCAAATCTTTTTGAAGTCAATGGGACTTTTGTGCCTGGAATGAGCTGCAGCACTGGAATCATAAAATTTCAGGCCAAAAGGGGCCACCAGATCAACTAGCCTGTACTCTGACCTCCTTATATCACAGGCCACCAACTCCACCCAGCAACTGCACACTGGACCCAACTGAAATTAGACCAAAGTATTACAGCCCACAGGAGACTAGAGTTATGTGCCACATACAGAGAATGAGAGGGACCAAGGTGCACAAGTGCCTAAGGCCCCCAAAATGGCAGGGAAAAGATTCAGTGAGATATACCCAAATAATCCCGGCAAGTGACCAGCAGCCATGCACTGGAGATGAAACTGAAAAAACCCCAAGGTCACTGCCAATCTGATCTAGGGGCAAATTCCTTCCTGATTTAGCACATGGTGATCAGTTAAACCCTGGACATGTGGGCAAAAATGAGCCAGCCAACCCCCTGAGAGAGAGAGAATGCTCAATGCCACTTCTGGACCTCCCCATCCAATGTCCCATCTCCAGCTGTGGCCATCTTTCATGTTTAAGAGGAAAGAGATACAAAACAAAAAAACCAGACGGTATTGGGGAAGGGGGTGGCCAGATGTAACCCTCAGGAGCTTTTAGGAATATAAAACTAGGCTCCAAGTAGTTCAAATTCCTAGCATCAAGGGTGGGATTTTCATCAACGCCTAAGTGTCAACGACTTTGAAAGCATGAAAGCTGTGGCAAACAACGTATCAAGGTTAAAGAAGTCCCCCAATCTGCTCATTTCTGGATACCATACTAGCTAAACCATGATGAACCTTACACATTGCAATGACAGATGAAAGGTTTTCTTCTTTACATGGAAAAAAGAAAATTATTATTGCCCATCTCAAGCTTTGGCTGAATCCATCTGTGTGCCAAAGAATACTTTCATCCAATATTAAAACCACCTCAACTAAACAACTCCCTGAAAGTCCCATTGTTTTCCCTTATTGTCTTAACTGCCTCTATCAACTGCATTTTATTTTAAATAAATTGCGAGTTGTGATTAAACTTTTTTCTGATAAGTGTTCCTTTGAAACCATATTCCTTGCACAGCATGGTTAGATCATAGAGATGTATGTGATTACACAGAAATACCCTAAAAGACTAGATCTGCATACAGCATTTTAATGCTAAATCAAATGGATACCACCAGATTAGAGCAGTGATTCGTGTTTCAACATATTACAGGAAAAATAAATGGAGTACATTAAAGGTTCCGCTCAGGCTAGCATGTATTAATCTTAATAAACTTATAAGAGATTAAAACAAACTTCTTATTTAAGACTAGATTTAGGTTATTGATACTATCCTGGAATGGATCATGTGAACATTGACTACCATGTATATCCTTAAACCAAAAAAAAGTCCCTTTGATTTCAGTAGGATTCTGTATGGAAGTAAGGAGATCTACAGTAGCAGCTGATTGCAGGATTAAGCCCCAAATTTGTGGGAAGATAGGAACAGACCAATGGTCTAGTTCAGTGGTTTTCAAACTTTTTTTCTGGTGACCCAGTTGAAGAAAATTGTTGATGCTCGTGACGCAACAGAGCTGAGGATGAGGGGTTTGGGAGGGGTTCAGGGATGGGGCAGAGGTAGGGGTGCGGGGGTGAAGGCTGAGGGGTGGGGCCATGAATGAGGGGTTCAGGATATGGGAGGGGTCTCTGGGCTGGGACAGGGTGTTGGGGTTGCAGGCCTGCAGGCACCACCCTCTCCCCCCCAGCTCCCATTGGCCGGGAACCGATGCTCGAGGCAGAGTCAGCGCGCGGAGCCCTATGGCCCACCCACCTAAGAGCCGGACCTGCTGCTGGCCACTTCCAGGGCACAGCACAGTGTCAGAACAGGTGGGGTCTAGCCTACCTTAGCTGGGCAGCACCACCACAACCAAGTGCCTTACATTCTGCGAGCCAGTACTGGGTTGCGACCCACAGTTTGAAAACCACTGGACTTGTTAGTCTGCTAGGTTGCCTCTGGTATCCTGATGTTCCAGAGGAAGGCATACAACTCCCAAAATATACCTGGTCAGTATAAAACAGTCATTATTTAAATTGCTAGAGCCAAGAGGAACAGCACAAAAGTCTCATTGCAGAAGACTACGCTTGTCAATATACACTATTTAACTTTTGTAAAGCAATCACAAACAATACAGAGGACGAGGGGGACATTCATTTCAC